ATGACAGCCTTTTATATAGTAAACATTTGACATTGCAAAGTAACCTGTCTACACATAATATAAAAATATGTTAACACAGAACCAACAAAATTTTAACATTTGGTTAACAATACTGCAGTGTGTGAATACTGAAGAAGGGTAGTTAGTCTTAAAGGGAGCCTTAAAGTAAATCAAACTATATATGATAAGAGTGTAATCAATATTATAATTCGTATTATCAAAGAATTCATTAAGCTCAATAATTGAGTGTTATAAGGGAAACAAGCGTGGTAAAGGAAGAGAACACTTGCTGCATAAATATTTTAATCATTTTAAGTATTGTAATGACAATCAAATTTCAAGAATTGATCATGCATAATTACTCAGTATTATTATATTAGTATTGGGACTAGTGTGCTTTCTATAGTTAAATATTGAAATGTCATTGTTTCACCACTCTACCAACAGTTGTGATCTTTTAGACGGGCTAGGGTGGACATGTTAATATGTTTTTCTAGGCTCCTTTTGAAACTGTCAAGCTTTCACAGGATCTAATCTCAGAGGGTAATTGGTTCCAAAGTTTGCAATATTTAATGGCGAAACGTCAGCTCTAGTAGTGAGTTTATGGGTGTTAACCTTGAGAAGGTGGTCATGGTTGTCTTGGTTAATCAAACGCTAATCCTTTTTCTTCACTAGTACCTGTTTACTATGATAGTTTATAGCTCAGCAAAGAAAAGACTACATTTCCTAGGAGTCTATGAGTCGGTGGCAACTGCACGGATCATAATTCATTGAGCATGTACTCAGGTGAGCACCTGTGACGTTACTGAGTTGTGTAGTGTCTCCTGCATTCGAAAAAGTCATTGTTTCACACTGTAACTGAACGCCAGATGGCAATTAACAAGTGCCATGAGTCTCGTCCTACGCTTGGTGCAGGATGAATTCTACCAGTCGAGCTTGCAACATGGCCACCATGTTAGGCACCTTGTCATCAAGGTGTGCTCGGAATCCTCGCCATTAGGCAGCTGGAGGCACGACATCTAGGCTCAAGGCCTCCTGCCGATAGCCAGCTACTCGTTTATGACAGTGCAAACTGCACCATGATGGCTGGCTGCCTAACGTCAGCCTTTACCAAATATAGGACAAATCGCATGGCACTAGTTAATTGCTGCCTAATGTTCAATCAAAGCATATGATACAGTTCTAAAGGAGGTCAATCGAGAGTCCGAATAGCTCGGTGGTAACGTCTCTGGCTGCAACATTGAGTGGCATGGGTTCGGATATCAGAGGGGAAGTGAGTTCCTTCAAGGTTGCACATTCTGCTTGCTGATTGGTGAGTGCCAACAAGCATGAATGTTGGGTTGAGGCTCACCAATGATCGTCTCCAACTATCTATTAATAATCACTTTTCACACCCAATACCTTGATGTGCTCAAGCAGAAACGTAGCTTACCAGCTTTACGGTTCGTGTTAATACTTTAGGTGAAATACTAAATCTGTTGGAGTGATTAGGTGATCCAAGTGCATCTCATAGTCCAATAGTAATGGGAACCACTCTCTTAATTTTCATCAGATGGCTGGACGCAAAAGAGGAGAGGAGTCACGTGTTTTGCCCTACTATTCACCGTGAGAGTGGCTGTGCAGCTACCAACAGGGTCCCTTGTCGTTACCTGTAATATAAATTTACTTTTCAAA